AGCGATGGACCCGGGGACGCCAGACCCGAAACAGAATCGCAGCAAAAGAGGTCTACGTAGTGAAAACAAGAAGAGAAAAATTAAATTCCAAAGAGCGATTAAAAGACTCCACTTTGTTGTGGCCACTCCCGCTTGAACGAACCTGATCGAACATATTCCCCGTACTGTACACCGTACCAACCAAGCAATTCCCGAGGCATCATTTGAGTTCGGTTTCCTCAAGCTCTCATTGAGAAAGTTGGAAGAGGTTACCTACTTTGTAACTTGTGGGCGCGATGCAGCTAATATATATATTGTGATTGATGTTAGTCTGGCAGGGATACTCTGTGGGAGGTTTAGCCGTTGATTGCGCAGTTTCATACCCGTCCCCTGCAGGCGCTAATAACTTACTGCTAAGTGTCAGTTTCTATAGCACAGTTCCTAGTGCTACAACCTGTCCGTCCCCATAGTTACCTTACCCTATGGGACGATCCAGTTCCGTCAGCATGCCGCGTTTGCGATTCCCAAATTACATCGGATACACGGTTTGACACATGAGCTAGAGCTGGCACAGTTGTCCGCCTGATGCGACTGATCTTGCTTTTCCTTTTTTCTTCTTTTCGACAGGGCGCATATTCTTGCATTTCACCATTGCTTTGTAAATCTAATTTATCTCCCTCATGGGACAGAGGAGACGGGTCAAGAGAGCACTGTATGCATTGCAAGATGATTATCCAGTCGCAAATATCAACCTGTCTCAGTCGTCAAGGTGAATGATGCTGTGACCGGCTAAGTAAGTGACTGGAAGGTGGCGACAAAAGCCAGTGCAAACAGTGCGGCAGCAAATCATTTGGCGTAAATGAGCTGAATGAATGGATGTTCATAAACCCAGAATTTTCCAAGGTACGTAAGTTGTCTGGGTCACTTGAATGCTTACCAGCCAAGTTGATGGCAGCCGACAGCCCATCGGGATGATGTAAGTGAACACAACTTATTACACCTAGCACAGAAAATTTGCATCTAACCAAGCTGAGGGCGTGTCCGTTTCGCCCTAGGCACTGTAGCAGAACAGCACATGTCTCTATTGTTCACAATGCTGAAGGCCAAGAAAGAATCGCCGCGTCTATGCTACTCAGACGATCCGCTGTCGCGGGAAGAGGGGATGTCCCCAGTAGAGAAAGAATCGCGCTAAGGGTTCTGGCGGCTTTGGCCATATTACTCAGTACTCAGTCCTCAGTATTCCCGCCGTCGCCGAAGGATTTCTGTGCTTAGTGTTATTATCACATCACTGCTTCTCGTCAAAGTCAACTCCGACCGCACGCGACCATCCAACCATAATCCTTCGCGTGCGTGGGAAGGAGCCAAGTCCTAGTGGGTTCTTCCGGGAGGAGGCCGTGATTTTGCATGCCGTACTGTACAATAATGAGAGAAACCCGACGATAGAGGGGTTAGTTTACGGGGTAGTTCGCATGAGGTTCACCCCATGCTGTACAGTACACTAGTCTATCACAGACACAGACAGACTGATAGTCAGTCAGTCAGTCAGTCCGTCAGACCGTCAGACCGACACGTTCGATTGATCTACTACATATACAGTGTTCCGCTACTAATCACCACTAGTCAATTAGTACTGCAGGTCAAGAGGAGCCACGGTACCGACAGCCCTCTCCCTTTTCGCTGTATTGTTCTGATCCGAGTTTTCGGTTGTCTACCTAGTCTAAAATGGCTTAGCATTGTCCCGGACGTCTCCATGCCTCCAGTTCTTTCTTTGGTCGTACGGAGCCACTCTTGCACAAAATGCCCCTCCCCTTTCTGACCGTGGACCTCCCGTGCCCCGGTAAAATCGGGAATGATGGTGGACAGACCCTAAAATTTGATAAACGAGAAGGAAAATTGGGAACCCAACGGGCAGAATATCCAAGCATGCACCCTGATGCCTCAACTCCAAGAGGAAAACACAGCTCTATATCATGCTCAGAGCCGAGGAGCCAGAAGACCGAGCTCAAAGGGGGAGGGGGGAAGATGTTAGTCGGTTGCTCTAATAATACTACCAAGTGCTGTACCTACTTATCTGGCCGGTGCTTGTTTCGAGAAGTTCCCTGTAACATCCTAAACATACTGCGGTATCGCTCTTCATGGGTCATTCCGAATATCCTCGACCTTCAAATCCCTTGTCCAGTTCCCTGGGTATAGACCATGTTGTGCCTAGATATATCAAACATGTGGCTCTTGCAGTCATATACGATCCAACAGATGTGGTGGTCTTTACTTTTTAACGCTCCAGCCCGAACGCGGAATAGACTTGGCGCTCAGGATTTCAGATTCAACGCGCATGCGCTGCCCTACGTGACAACATTCCTGCCACAGATAAAACATAAAACATACATACATACGTACATACCCTCTTATTTTTATTTTTATTTTATTTTTCCTGTCCATCCACACTCCCTCCACCTTTTCCATCTTCTGCGGTGTACGGAGCCGAGCAAAGCCTATCCGGTCTTTGATTCTTCCTCTGCTCTTAGCATCCCTCTCTCCCTCCGTCTCAGTCGCACTTCTTCATTTAAGTTTCGTCAGATTTCCCCCCGGCCGGTCGACCCTTGTCTTAATTGTTGGGCGCTTGCCTCTTCATATATCGCGCTCCTCGGCCCATGGCTGAGGACCCCCCCCTTCCCTGTCCCGATGTACCATCATTCTTTCTTCGTATCGGGTCGTTCGGCCCACAGCAGCAGCATTTCCTTTTCAAAGGGCCCACGACAAGCATCCGAGAGCGATGGGACTTAGGTATTTCCGCTAAACCCAGTAGAATAACGTAGATCCCCCAACGGGTCAAATGCGCCGCCTGCGAGCAAGGGGAACAATGGGTTATAAGCAACTACCTAGTCAGCAACCGCCCAGGGCGGCCGGCCTCTGCCAGTCTGCTGTTCCCGAAGAGGATGCTCCTGACCTCTAGGCTATGACGGCGCCCGGTCACCCTGCCGGTCATCCATTCAGAAACCGGAATTGAAGGCATATCAGAATTTGAGAATGGATGAACGGGGGAGATTGAACTTGTGAAGAGTATGGAGTGAAGAAGTAGAGAGACAGTCAAAAAGAGTCCAAGTTCTGGAGAAGACTGCCTACCTCGCTCCAAATGATCATGTTGCCGAATCTGCTAGCCAGCATCTCTGGGTCGTTTGGCTTGTCTGGGTTGGATGGAGGAGGATCCGTCATATTAACCCATCGGGACTAGGGGCGAGGATGTGGACTGGTCGGGATCCCAGCTGGTCAGTTAGTGTAGTTGTAGTAGGTAAGAAGTTGTTAGTTTAGTACTCCATTGTAGGTACTGTAGGTACTGTACGAGTAGGTTAGGACCTGGTGGAAGGGAAGAAAAGGAACTTGGGAACTTGAACTATTCTGTTAGGTAGTGAGTGAGTAAAGTGATTCTTTCGGGTCTCGTTCGTTCGCTCTCTTCTGCTACCGCTGATGTTGCTGCATACCTATTATTTTCACTCCTTCAACCCAAGCTTCTGACTTTTCACGTTTCCTGTCTGCGGTGGTCTTGACTCGAGTTTCTATCTTCATCCTCTTTTTGCCTCCTTCCCCCACATCCCTCCCTCCTCCTCCTCCTCCCTCCTCCCTCCCTCTCCCTCCCTCTCTCTCTCTCTCTCTCTCTCTCTCCCTCTCTCTCTCTTCCTCTTCCTCTTCTTCCTCTACTCTCTCTTTCTTCCCCTTCAAGTTCTGTTCTCTCCTCCCTTCTTTGAACCCTGCCCCGTTTTGACTTCCCCTCCCCGATATCCCTCCCCTTGGGTCCCGGGAAATGCACTAGTCCAATATAACATACATCCGATCCAATCCATCCATGATCTCGACCGTGAGGATCGATCGACCACCTACTACCCATTTTCCCTAAGCCCTCTTCCATCAACTCGGGATTTAAGGGACTATAACAATTGGGGGCGAGGGTCAACTGTGATTATCACGAACTACTTACTTTCCCGTGCCAGTCCTGCCACAAGGACTAGACCAATCCGACTGGGTCTAAAGTGATCTTATCCGTTCTTCCCAATCTCTTACTACTCTTCTTCGTTCTTCTTGTCCGTCCTTTTGTCTTTTCCCACTCTTTCTTTCTCACACGCATCCACACCCTCTTCCCTCTCCTCCCCCCCTCCCCTCGGTCCCCACGAGTCTCCCAACGCCTTAGTGTGGCTCTACTTTGGTTTGGCTTCCACCGCCGCTAACCTTCATTTTACTACCCTACTACGGTTCTCTTCTTCTCTTTCTACTCTTCCCTTTCCATCCCTCCTTCCCTCCCCCCCCCTCCCTCTCTCTTTTTGATGTCTTTCTCGCCCTACACTTTACTTTTCCTTCCTGCGTTTCCATAATTCCTCTCAACTTGCCTCCCCGTTGTCCTCGGGTTTATCGGTTTATTCGAGCCTACTTCTCTGTGGTCTCCATTCTCTTTCGTGGAGGCTCATCATCTATCTGGTTTGATAATTCACCGCCGACCTCGATTTCTCTGGGAATTATTGTTCGAACATCAACATCACCCGTTCACCCTTCCTTCCGCCCTTGCGGGAATTAAAGAGTGAATTGGAACTGAGATTCGGCACTGGCATTTTTAACTCTTCTTCGATTGTTCTGCATCGACTGTCTCTGTTCTTTCCCTTTCAGTGCGGTCGTAGGCAGAGAGATATTCCAACATCTTTGCAGCCTTGCTCCCTTTATCCTAAACCCCCAAGGCTTGACTGACTTGGTGTTCCTCCTCTGTTCTTTTGATTGCCGCCCCTTGATACTCGGGTTCACGCCGCTGTGCGATATCTCCACCCGCCTGCAGAGTCAGTTCTGATGAGGGATCGCCTTCCCGTCACGGCCCGTTGCTGAGCTTCGCATTTCCGCCTCTTCCTCCCACCAGCCAAATTGTTTGGTGTTTCTTCCGCTTGGTGGTAAACCTACTACCACACGACACGCCCGCCACGCTGGAGGCACCACGGCCATTTTACTTGGTTTGTTTATTTGGAAATTTTGCCTGAGGCTTGGCCATGGCCTCGGATAGGTCACCGCCTCAAAAGTCACTGCAGTCCCAGCACATCGCGAGGCTCAGTTCATCATCTCCTTCTGCAGTCCGTCAAATGCCTACTCCCGGTCTCGCTTCTCGGACGGGTTCCGCAGAGTCTCCCACGCCCCAAGGGGCCGCCACCGGGAACGATCTGCAATCGCAACCGTATTCTATCGCGGCTACTGCTTCGCCGGCCTCCGAGGTCACTCTCACAGCCACTGAGCCGCCCAGCGCGTCTACGACGCCGGCACCGTATGGCACCCGCTCAAGAGGGCGCAATGCAGCGCCACGCCCCAATTATGCGGAAGATCGCGACATCGACATGGATTTGGAGATTGCCCAACCCGCGCCCAAATCCACTAAGCGGACGAGCGGCGTTGCAGGCCATCCGGTAAATGGTTCCAAAGTCGAGGCCGAGAAAGTAGCATCCTCGTCAAGCTCACGGAAAAGTCTGACGGCGACAAATGGCGCAACTCCCGCCGCCACACCAAACCACCTCATTCCCGGCACATCGTCATTTTCTGCCAAACCTGACGAGACCAATGGGGGAGGAAACTCGTCCAGAAAACGAAAGCAACCGGCTAGCTCGACGAGTACTCCCACGGCCAATGGAAGTGCTGCGAAGAAATTATTTACGGCTGCTCCAGGAGCCAGTCACCACCAACCGGACACGAATATGGTCAATTTTGAGGAGCGTGGCGCTTATTTGGAAGATGGCAAGCTCACAGCGGATGACGGCACCACGTTTGCCATAAATGGTTAGTCCTCCTCCTCTCATTGTTGTGTTCCGAACGTTCCTTGTCAATCAGCGCGCGCCGGGTGTTCAAAAGGGCTGGAAGGAAAAGATGCTAAGGCCGTGCGCTAGACCATGTTTACCTCATTTGTGAGCCGCCAGGCGAACCGTATTACTTGGCGCGAATTATGGAGTTTCTCCCCTCCAAGAATACCGCCTCGGGCCCGATCGAGGCGTTACGCGTGAATTGGTATTACAGACCACGTGACATTCAACGGAAGGTCGCAGATACGAGATTGGTCTTCGCATCAATGCACTCCGATACCTGTCCACTCACCTCCCTGCGTGGAAAATGTTACATCTCCCACCTGTCCGATATTTCGGACTTCGACGAATACAGGAAGACTCGCGATTGCTTTTGGTACGACAAGATGTTCGACCGGTACATTCATCGCTATTACGATGTAATTCCGACAAGCAAGGTCATCAACGTCCCCGCCAATGTCAAGAAAGTCTTGGATGAACGCTGGAAGTTTGTCTTGGTCGAAATTGGGAGACGGAAGGAGTTAACCAGCGCCGTGAAGACGTGTAAACGGTGTAGTTTATATGCTGCAAAGTAAGGTCCCAATATCTTCGTTCGGATCACTGGATCGTGACATTAATGTTTTTTCTTAGTACGGACTCGGTGGATTGTGCTGTCTGTCATAACACTTATCACATGTACTGCGTTCGACCTGTCCTGACAAAGAAGCCTGCACGAGGTTTCGCATGGGCCTGCGCAGCATGCAGTCGAGCACAGGAACGAAAACTGGAGGCACGGAACACCCCGCTGCTCGGTGAGGCGCCGCACCCTGAAGGCGAAGAGGAAATCGTGGAAGAGGAAGAGGAGGATCCCAACGCCGCCGCGAACGGCACCACAGGCAGCACCCCAGCCCCTGTCGAGGAGGAGGTTCGACCAGCTACCGAGGAACAGGTGGCACAGGCCAGGATGTGGCCTTACCGCTACTTGGGAATTCACTGTCGGGTCGAAGACGCCCTCGATTACGATGACCGCATATATCCACGGGCCAGCTCCCGATTGGGGCCTCGCCACCAGGCAATGGTGATTCCGTGGCATGGTAGGCCGGTGGAGTATGTCAAACCGATCGATATCAAGAAGAAATACTTGAGAGGCGGCAGCGGTCGGAAGGATTCCAAGCTGTCAAAGGAAACGCTTGCCGCGATCGAGGCCGCCAAACAAGAAAAGGCGAACCGGCCGAAATGGGTGCTGGACGAGCCTGCGGGCTACGTGCGCCGCGGTGAGGATGAGCCGGTCCCAGTGGCGGGAAAGCAAGTACGTACCGCCGAATTAATGTTCAAAATGCCCACTGCAGGACAGATTTCAGCCCGCGGAGAAGATGACATGCCGGGCACTGATCTCAGTCCCGCCGACAGGGAGAAGTTTATCGACAATTATATGAAGCAAGCCAAGGCATTAGCTCCCGATTTGGGAGTGGAGGGATATTCTACGAATTTCCTCGACAAAGCTCTTGAGTTGCTCTATTCTAACAGCTTTGATGTCAAAGCGGCACTTGCGAAATTGAAGCAAGTCAACAAATACAAGGACCTCAAGGAACCCCACCTGCGCCCCGAAGAAGTCAAACTATTTGAACAAGGAGTTGCCAAGTTTGGATCGGAGCTACGCAATGTCACCAAGCACGTTGGGACCGTACCGCATTACCAGATCGTCCGGTTCTACTACATGTGGAAGAAGACCCCGCGCGGTCGTCAAATCTGGGGAACCTACGAAGGCAGGCGGGGTAAGAAAGAAGCCAAGCGACACAATGCTGCGAAGCTAGTAGATGATGTGGCGGATGATCACGATGACTCGGCGTATGATAACGAGAAAGCGGTGGAGAAAAAGCGTGGATTTCAGTGCAAATTCTGTTCTACACGAACCTCACGTCAATGGCGACGCGCGCCAGGAGTCCCGCCTGGCACAACAAAACCTAGTGAACCCTCCTCTAAGCAACGCGATAAGGGACCACAGCTCACTGTGGCTCTATGTCTGCGTTGCGCTCTCCTGTGGAGAAAATATGGCATTCAGTGGGAGAGTGTCGATGAAGTTGCGAAGAAGATTGGGCAGAGTGGTAACAAGTCATGGCGCCGCCGCGTAGACGAGGAGCTCTTGACCCAGCTTCTTCTCTCAACCGAAACCCCAATCAGCATCAACAGTGCCACAGCGGCTACGGCAGCTTCATTAGGTGTTCCGGTAAATGCTAATCCTCAGGTACAACAAGAGTCCACAAAGAAAAAGGCACGAATCACGGACAAAGATAGCGCTACAACCTCCACAGCGACATCGGTGGAACCACCTGCGCCGAAGAAGAAACTACCGACCGAGAAGGTGCCGGAACCCACGCCAGTCATGCCTGATCCTCCCAAGGCGAAGACGCTCCCATGCGCTATCTGCAACAAGATGGAGCCCATGGGTGACCAGCACCTGTCTTGCCGGGATTGCCGACTGACCGTTCATCGCGGCTGCTATGGTGTTAGTCCATCACGTAACTGTGTCAAATGGCTCTGCGATATGTGCTCAAATGACCGAGAGCCCATGATTTCGACTCGCTACGAATGCGTCTTGTGCCCAGTGACCTGGACGGAGCATGAATTGATGGAAGCGCCGAGATCAACACATAAGAAAAAGACTGAGCGCGATCGTGAGAAGGAGAGACTCGAGAAAGAATTACTGACCGAGGCCATCAAGCTCTACCGGCAGCGGCAGGAGGATGTGGGCAAGCCAATTGGTCCGCGCGAGCCGCTCAAGAGAACTGCCGGTAACAACTGGGTTCACGTCGCTTGTGCCGTTTGGACTCCGGAGATCAAGTTTGGAAACTCCAAGGAGCTTGAGCCAGCCGAAGGGTTTGGACTGATTCCTGCGGACAGGTATCGGGAGGTATGTAAGATCTGCAAGACAAACAAAGGAGCATGCGTGCAATGTCATTATAGCAACTGCAACGCCCGTTTCCATGTTGGGTGTGCATTCCAGGCGCAGTACAAGTTTGGCTTCGATGTCACACCGGTGAAGAGCTCCAGGCGGGATACCGTGAGCAGCGTGCGGCTTGGAGATGAGTATGGGTCTGCTTCGGCCGGAATCTGGTGTCCCCATCATACCGTTTCCGCTGTTGTGCATGAAATCGGCGAGCCAACCGAGGAAGCGGGCTTGAATGCGCTGCAGCGCTACGCGCAAGTCTACAAACAAGCGGACTTAAGCTTGACTGGGACTGTTCGGAGAGCCAATTACGTACAACAGTCTGCCGGTGCGTCGCATCACCCTGCAACAAACCCTGGGAGTCGCCGAGTCTCGGCCGTCAACGGTGTGGTGCCTCTGTCGACGACTACCAGAGACAATCACAAGGTTATCCCGGCATCACCAGAGCATGCGGCAGACGAAATGGTCATCGACTCCGAGAACCATGTCCCTCGCCCCGCCACTGATAGCAATTCTGGCCGAAAGTGTGCTCGCTGCTCCAGCACCTGCACGCCCAAATGGTGGTCGGTCGATAAATCGCGGCGAACAACTGACCTTCGGACGCCTCTGTTGAATGGAGCCGGTCTGAATGAGCCAAGGTATCCCGGCGCATCTTCGGCCAGTCCTCCTTACCTTTCTCGCAAGCCATCTCAAACTGGTCTGCCCAGGCTTAACGGCGACTATGCGTCTCCCGACAATGGTACGGTGTCAGCAGACGGATCGCAAGCGCTAGTGGAATGCCATAAGTGCCACCTCACGAAGCCCGCCTCTCAGCCATCGCCCGAACCTCGACCGTCCCCATATCCCGCCTCTCGACCAGTCCTGCCGAATCCTCCAATTCGCGAGTTCCATACCCACCCGTATGGCCCTGGACCGCACCACGCCCATCCGGCTCAGCCCAGTGTTCTTGCCAGACCGATGGGCACGCCTTCGCACAGTGGGCCTGACTGGTATGACCAGCGATCCGCTGATTATGTGGATGGCCGATTGCGCAATGGTCTACCGGTGCCTGGGTATCGAGGAGGGCCCCCGCCCCCATCAGCGCACCATATCAACGGCTACCAGCCGGCTCCAGCGCACCATGCTCCTCCGCCTCCAGCTCCTCGCTATACGGCAAGCACACACCCTCCTCCACCCCAGCCCTACTCCGCCCATCAGAGTCCCTATGGGCCGCCCTCGATGCTGTCGCCTCGCCCTTCGCACGCTGCAGGGCCCCGCCCGTATGCACCTTCGGCTTCACCACCGGATATTCAGGCCACGATGGTCCGGCGTTCACCCTCTCACACGCTCAGCGCATTGAACGGAGGGCCACCACCGCGGGTGTATTCCGTTGATCGGGTCCTCGGGGCGCCAGCCCAGTCACCCCCCATATCCCAAGCCCACGTTGACCCTCGGGGACCGACCCCTCCCGTGAAGCCGGATGAAACGCCCATCGGTGGAGGGCCGAATTTGATGGGCACGGGCAGACACCCGAACAATGGTGGGACGAATGGCGGCTCTGGCGCCAGCGCCAGTCCTTCCTTGAAGAACTTACTTTCCTGAGAGGATCCTGGAGGAAGCCGCCATAGACCGACCCATGAGGCGATGTACCATAGTCTTCATTTTCCATTCTTCTTTGCATTTACTTTGGGACTATTTCTGGTAAGGTAAAACCGGGCGATCAGCGTGGACTAGAACTCTCCTTGTATGTATTGCCATGCTTCTTTTCACCTCTGTCTTACTTGCCTCCTTTTGCATTGTGCTTGCTATACCAGGTTCTCATTTGCGTTTGCGTGATCAAGCCACGCGGGATGGATTAATGGCCTCCCTCTCCTGTGGCATTGGCATTCTGAATGTTTGTTATTTAATATCCTTTTGAACCCGACCAGGCCGGGTTACGAATGATAAAGAGAGATTTTTCCCTTTGACCAGTACAGTGTCTGGATGCGGGGGTTCCACCAACTTAGGGACCTGGGTTCCAGTCAGTACCGTACCGAATCTGCCGAACAAAATAGGCAGCAGGGGATGTTCGTCGGCAGGATGAGTATCCTAGAAATTCCACCTGTATGCAGAAAATACATAGGTCGAGAATGTCCGGTGCAGTAAGTTGAATGGAGCCAGTAGAAAAGTGGGTTCGGTCGATTGGCCGCCGCGAAACCGAAATATAATTCCGGGAAATCCAGCCTGACGATCCCTTGAGACATAACGCGCGTTCATGTCTTGCATATGGTTGACTGGGCAGTATAATATTCCCCACTCAGGTTGTGTGGACTGTGAGTCAATCTAGTATAGTATGCCTGACTCAACACAGTAGCTGTTGACATATGAAGTACTATTTAAGTAGGGTTGGGGAAGGGTGAGGTGAATTTCTATCCGAGGTTAGACTTGAGACAGATAAGTTAACTAGACAGGGTCGTTGTCGTTGTTGTTGGGCAGCAGCAAGAACAGCAGTGGTCGAAGCTCCTTGCATAAAACTGTCCCCGTTCCGCCCAGTGGATTGATTCCACCTCGCTCTGTCTCTCTGTGTCACCGTAACTATGTATGTCTCTCTTCTCTTGCTTTCCCTGTCATCTTTTTTCCCTTTATCAAATTACCCATAAGAAAATACACATGATGTTGCGGACCATCAGCCACCCACCAATCTCCTCCTCTCCTCTCAAATCGAAGGCAAGAAACTCAGAGAGTTTCGGTTGAAGGAGCCTTTCTCCCTTCTTGTCAGCCCCAACCCTCACCCGCGGTTCCGAGGCGGACGGATCTGCTTCCCATTGTTGGAATTATGTACCACAACATCAAATCACATCATGGACATTTGGTCGACGTCACTGGATCGTTTGCCACTCCTATTCGGCATCGTTTCCATTTGTCCCCTCAGATGCGAACTCCAGAGGACCGTTGAGCGAACATAGGTTGGAAACCCCTTTGAATCCAAGGTCAGAGTATGGTGACCATGTGTGTATGTGGTGTGTGGTGCGTGGTGTGTGGTGCGTGGTGTGTGGTGCGTGGTGTGTGGTGCGTGGTGTGTGGTGCGTGGTGTGTGGTGCGTGTGGAATGGAAGTTCTAGAAGACCTGCCAATGACTCGCGGCATTTTACCCTCTGATTCATGCGCTTACACGCGGGGATCGACCACACGTTCGATCACTAGACTAAGTACTGTAGGTTCTATGCATGGGATGGGGAAGGGGGGGGGTGGCGTTGATGTAATATCAATTCTTTCAAAAAGTCTAGTCAAAGGGAAAGGGAAGGGGGAAAAAAACCCTGGAGTTTAAATATGGAGAGTAGTCGAGAGAAACTCCAATGATGATGACGATAATGATGACCGAAGGGCAAGTGGTTGTGTTGTGAGGTGCCCGCTGCAGTCGGTGCCCACTGCCCACTCTGCCCAAGACAGAGGCCAGAAAGTCAAAGCCTCATTTTAATTAAATTAAGTGGTGCGATGGAATCCCTTCTCCTCCACTCATTTTCCGCCCGGGAGATTCTAGAAGAGCACGACACGAACTAATGAGATGGCTTGCTTAAGCGTCATTCGCCCCACTCTTTGCTCTCGCCCTGTGTGTGTGCTTACAGCTGTGTGTATTCTTTCTTTTTCTTGGGGGGTTTTTCTTCTTTCCCGTCTTGGTTGTTGCTCAGTGTTCCAGTTGACTGCTGCATTGCACTTCTTTTTCTTTCCCGGCAGATTCCGATTTATGGATATCTGGAATTATACGGTATGGATATATTTATGGATATATTTAGCTAGTCAGATATTAATCAGCGTCATTCTCAGCTCCTGCTCCTGCTTCTCCTCCTCCTCTTCCTCCTCCTACTTACCCCATGATGAACTAGACCCAACCCGACCGGACCTGAACGAGGCCAGGAAGTGGGGGGAGAAGGGCCGATCGTATACACGGAGGGAATAGCTCTGTCGTTGGGACGGGGGGCCGATGCTGCTTTTAGTTTAAGTACAAGTACAGCACCAGCACCAGCCATGGCCAGGAACCTGGCTGAATGTACGGAGTAAGTAAGGTGAGGTAGTGAAATTAGTCAATCAGGCCAAATTGTCTGGCCCCATCGGAGTTGTTCTCTGACGACGCCCGCAGCCGCCGCCGCCGGGTGCCGCGACCTTCTGGAAGACCGAGCGAAGGGTAGAGGAAAACCAAAAGAAGGACGGGAAGAAGCAAATCATGAGCATGAATGAGCTTTTGGTATACTTCGTACTTCAAGGTTACTACATATGGATGGATGGATGTATGTATGTATGTATAGTACTAACTATACAAGTCGTAGTTATCTATCTATCTCTCTCTCTCTCTCCCTCCCTCTCTCTCTCTCTCTCTCTCTCTCTCTCTCTCTCTCTTTCTCTATCGCCCTTCCATCCATTTGCGCACTGCTTTTGGTTCAAACCCTGGATTCGCTAGCCATTCGATTTCCAATCCAATAACGTCGTCATTGCTCTCTTCCCTCCCTCCCTCCCTCCCTCCCTCCAGTCTTCCTCTCTCCACCCCCGTACAACTACTAAAAAGTAATCTAACCAAATCTCTCTCGCCCCCTTCTTTGCTTGAAGGTCTGGAACTGACTTCCCGTCCTCTTCACTCACTTCTCACTCTTCTCGTCTCTTTCCTCTCTTCCTCTATTCCTCTTCTTTCTCTTTCTCCCTATTCTCTTTCTCTCTCCTCTTTCCTACTCTTCAAATTTCCACTCCTCTCTCCATCTCCACGCGTACTAAGTTACCGATTACATCTACCACTACGACCTCCTCTCCCCACAATCGTCCCCTTTGTGACGTCTCCTCAACCCACACGATTCGATCGCCCTCTTCCCCTCCTCTCCAATTGTTCCCTTACCTCGCTCGATCTCTGATCTCTCTCATCTACCTTATTCTTCCCCTCCTTCTCCATTCTTATCAATCAATCAATCAATCAATCAATCAATTACCTGACAATTAAATCAATTACCAAAGAGAGCCAGCACATCGGCGCAAGTTGATTCCCACAGCTCCTGCTGCCCCGTCCCCTTCTCGTTACCTAATCCTTTATCAAGAGTACCCGTGCGGCCCCTTCGTCGGTCCCGATCGATCTTTGGCTTGCTCTGGCTCTCTTGTCTCTCTCCACCCCGTCCGTCCCTTCACTGCCTGCTCCAATCTCTCTTTCTCTCTTCCTCCCCTTCCCTCTTGCTCTCGCTCTCTCGCTCTCTCGCTCTCTCTCCCCTTCTGCTTTTCTCTTTGGTTTCCTTTTCTTACACAAACACACTCTACACACACTCCCACCCATATACAAACTCATCCACACTCTCTCATTGTTCACACTTTCCTATATCTACTACCAACCAAACCTTTTATTCTTCTGTGTCTGTCTCCGCCTGGCCGTGTCCGTGGCCCACCATGACGCCCTAAGATTCGCCCTATTTCCTGGGTTCGCCAATCTCCTCCCTTCTCTGTAGCCGAATCTTGCATGTGTCGCGATTTCGGTGGCTCCCCCTTCGGGTCGACTTGGTTCGGGCGCCATTTTCCATCATCGGTGACGAACCTACCTTAACAACCGCAGCCCGCGAACAGACCACTATCCATCCACTGGCAATTGCCCGTCATTCAATCTTTAACTCAAACTGTCCTTCGACTTCCTCTATAACTTTGAATCTTTTGATTCTTGGTGTTTGGGCTTCCTCCTTCGCCTATCTATTTTTATTCTTGCCTTGAGAGATTTCCTAGAAACCTGTGAATGTGAGTGAACTAAAAGCCAACGGGTTGTATGCACGGGTGGCAACCATAGCCGACCGCCAGCTGGAGGTATGCATGCGGTTGGGTGCAAAGCGACCTGGATTGTCTCACTTGGGAGCCTCCTCGCCCCTCCTGCACCTCCCTCCCGCAGGAAGGGCTTTCATCGACCATGTTCCTGCTGGTCCGCGCTGCAGCGAACAAATCTCTTGTTCGAGTGCGCGCCGCAGATGACGCTGGTTCGTCGCCGCTATAGCCTGTCTGGGTTGCTGCCTCTCACTCCCTGTCGGCTCTGGTCGTCGCGTGCATACACCGCACCCTGTGTATCCCTGATCTCGAGGTTTCGCTGACGCAAGAAAACAGAACCCAGCATAGAGTGACTTGATCCTGCAGTCTATAGCCCGCCCTTCTTTTCGCTTCACACAACGTTCCTTCGCTTCATTCATCTCAGTCTACCGGCCGTTCGTTTCGCTTCGAGATCCCCTCTCCCACCTCTATTACCACTATCCCCCCCCCCATTCGCAGTTCACATCTACCATATGAGCCCAAGTCTGGATCGGCTTCGCTATATCTTCCTCCTTCTTTCTCATCCCTGCGACTACACCGAGACCTGACCCTCGAAGCCGAGACCCTGGATGATGGGCACCACAATACCTAACGACACCATGGATCGCATCGAATGTTCTGCCATTTACATCGATCATCGCGTCAGGTCGGAGCGATGGGTTGATCACAACACCCTGGACCCGGTAACGGACCCGGATGCGCAAGCCCTCCTGCTCGAAGAACCGGAGTCGCTTCGATCGGACGTCCGAGTGCTGTTGGGGGTTTGTAAACGTATCTATCTCTGTCAAGCCGGCGCGTCGATCGCAACGAAACTAGCCGAGTTGAGCGACGGCGCGGGTAGCAAATATATGCCGATTTTTGCATTTTTCGACATAGATCTGCACGGAGAAGAACCGACCCTACATCGCCGCCGAGCGAGTCGTGGCTCGTGGGCAGACGTATCGCCTCCCTCGCCCGCGTCGCTACGCCGTGGATTCACCTTTTCCTCGAACTGGGAGGGGGCATATGATCTGAAATTACTGTCCGGATTATCAACCGACATCCAAGTGCAGGATTTGCCCAATTTGATCGTGCCTGTTGCCATCCTGCGCCCTCCGTCCGGCGACCTTACCAGTGCCCCTATCGATCAACCACCTAGTATATCCACCCTTCCCGACCCGCAACACATTTCCAAATGCCTGGATGCCGGTGCTGTCGACGTCCTCGTAACCCCGCTGGACAGCTGTCGAGCGCAAGCTCTGGTTGTCCATGCTTACCGGACCCGTAAAACTGCCTTGCGAGAATCCGCGCGCTTCCTGTCGAGGAAGAAAACGCGAAAGCACTCGTGGGTGGGGGTGCACGATGAGCAGCCTTATGCTTACCTGCGAGAGGCGATGGTTTCCAAGCTCATGAAAGGCATTTGCAATCCAGAAGAGGTCATTGAAGAGTTTCAGGACCGCGAGTTAGATGTACGCGCGGAGCGCGCAGAACTCGTTAGAGAACAAATCGGACAATGGAGCTTCACCGCTCACGGATTCTCTGACGATGAGTTGGTCCTGGCAGCCTTTGAGATGCTTCAACATGCTTTAAGTGTGCCTGACTTGGGAGAGTGGCAACTGACACCGGGTAAGTGCATGGCCTTTTCTGCAGACTTGTCAAAAGGCCCTGCCAGCTGATCAACGAGCTTTTCTAGGTGAACTTCGGACGTTCCTCCTTGCCTGCCGCGCCTCCTACAATTCCTTCGTGCTATACCACAATTTCCGCCATGCCATAGACGTTCTGCAGTCCGTCTTCTGCTTTTTGCTCCATATAGGCGCGCTGCCTCCTTATCGATCGGTCGGCCCGGCGTCGGGCGACAAGTGCCCGATTGCATCCCTGCTCACGCCGTTTGATACCCTGACCTTGCTGATCTCTGCGATTGGTCACGATGTCGGTCACCCGGGCGTAAACAACTTTTTCTTGGTCAAGCTGAATGCCCCCCTGGCTCAACTCTATAACGACAACTCCGTCTTGGAGGCGTTTCACTGCGCCGCCTTTTCCCAAATCCTGCGTCGGTACTGGCCGGCTGCTTTCAAAGATCGCCAGCTCCGCAAATTGCTGATCAGCTCCATCCTAGCAACGGATATGGGCGTTCACCAGAAGTTCATGGAACGATTAGGGTCGCTGCAAGAGCGGTTTCATGAGAATGATTGCACCACGGACGGGTGGAAGCCGCAAGATCTGGAGCTTTACAAGACCCTCGTGTGCGGTCTGCTGATCAAATGTGCCGACATCAGCAATGTGGCGCGGCCGTGGGATGTTGCAGAAAAGTGGACCCAGATCCTACAGGAGGAGTTCGCCAATCAGGGCGAAATGGAGAAAGAGGTGGGAATGGAGACTGCTTTGTTTGGCGGGCCCCCAGAGCTCGGGAACATCTACAAACTTGCCACTGGCCAGATTGGCTTCATGTCGATCTTTGCGCTACCTCTGTTTGAGGGGGTATCGGATATCCTTCCCGACTTGAAATTTACGGTGGACCATATTCGAGGAAACCAGTTCAGATGGCATATGCTTGCCGACCGAGAAAAGAGCCGACAAACACTGTTATTAGATTTGCGTCCAGATGAGGTGGTTTCTCCGCGTACGCAGAGTCCAATTCGAAGTCTCAAGGGTATGCGCGCCCCGGTGGCAACCCCTGGCCCCGACACTCTGGTCAAGCCCGCCTTCCCTACCAGCGCTACCCCGCGGTCCGCTCCGGACGACTACTTCGGGGCCGTGCACTCGCCCGTCAACTCGGATGAACCACCCAGTGACTACAATGAGAACAACATCAGCCCCGTGGTATCACCGGATACACCTGGTCCGTCTATGGACATCACAGGCAGTCCATTCCCAACGGAGATAGACTCACGCAAATCATCCGGTGCTGTGTTCGACCATGCAACGGTCTCCACTCCCGGAGAATCACGCACCAGTAGCCATGACTTCTCCACCACGCCTTCAGCACGGCCGAGTGAGACATTTGACGGAGCCTCGGACACAAATCGCTCGTCGACCGACCCGACCATGATGGCCACAGTTGTCCTGGCCAATTCGTCCGCCACGAATGGCGGGGCATCCGGGCCATCTAGTGCCCGCAACAGCTCGATTGAAGGCGTGGCGGAACGCCCCAGCAGTTCACGACAAGCCCCTACCGGGTGTCGCCGTCGCCATGCGAACACTGGCTCATCTGGACGCACGTCTGGCCTATCGAGCTCTCAACGGAACAGCTGCACTCGGACCCACAGCGTCAGCACCTACAGCAACAACATGACCCCGATCTCTCCGGCTACCAATGCGACCAGCTTCCTGACGGTGGACAGTGACGAGAAAGGATTTGCTCGGGAAAGTGTCAGCCGGAGCGACAATGAAGAGTGGAGCCGGGCCAACATCCGACCTGCGACTTCTAATCATGAGTCTACCGGTACCGTCTACCCGGTCAACCGTCGGGCATCCGACCCACACACGTACGACGCTGGGAGCAAGCACTTGGGATCGCCTGCGGGCAATGGCACCGGCAGCTCTGGGCAATCCACGACGACCGCGGGCAGCTCCAAACAAGATGGACGAGGTCGTCCTTGGGGCGAGCCTGGCGAGCGTCACTCGGGCCCCTTCAAACTGGTAAAACGACGGAGTCGTCTCCGACTGGCATTTTGGCGACGCAAGCCGCATCATTCGCACCAGCACGAGCTGAGTGGCGAGACCTGACACGATCTTCTGCTTCTTTGGCGTTATTCTGCGATTTGATTTCAAGGTGTTCATGGAAAACCAAGGGGGAACTTGGGTTATGGGCATACGGTGACATTCAGCTGATGACTTGGATTTACGATGGATTGCATGACTGACGACACGGATTGGTGATACGGGCGGTTGGGCTCAGTGTCTCTGCTTGCACAGAGGCTCGGGTTCATGACTCCCCGATATTTGACGATCTTGACGATATGCTATTATCGGAGGGACCAATGCCTTCCGGTGCTGGCATGCGAGGGTACTTAGTGTAAACCCTTGCGAACTGCCTTCACTTAACATTTCTTTTCTGTTACATCTGACCATTGTCTGGACCAAATTCTTTTTCTATATTTATTTATGTTTTTATATCATACAAGAGGACACAGGCTCATGGATATTTAGGGCACCATTAGAGTCGGGGCGTGAGATGGCGTTTATAAGGAGGAGGGAGGACTTGTGCTCTTTACTGTATTGCATGACAATGGATATTCATTCCTCGATTGGTTTACTTTCCACTTTCTTGCCGTTATACCTTTTTCGAATTGATTGAGACTCTGGATACTACTTATATATGATATAGATAGGTCTATTGACAATCCTCACACTTCTCCTTTTCCTGAGTTTCTTCTTGTTGTTGCTGCTGCTGCCCCAGCTCGCGGGCCTTCCTCAACGCCCGATCGGTATGTCCCAAGTCCCGCCCGGGATCCACCACATTCCGCACGAGGGATTTAAGCACCTTGACTTCTTGAAGATTGTCAGTCTCAGTCTCCAGGTAACAGTTCATCCATCCCACCCCCCCCCCCCCCCCCCCTCCCTTATCCCGGTAGAAGTAGATCACCACATCCCCGCCAGGGGAACGGGACGTCGAAACAAAACAACATACGTACCAGGAAACCCGCCATCCCGCTTCCGATCCCACAGCACCGTCTCGGTGATTGCATCGGCCTCCAGCTGTCCCTGTCCGTTCCCCGCAGTATCTTCTTCTTCTCCCACCACCCCCCGCCGATGATACAGCGTCACCGTGAAGACACCCCCCGTCGCCGGCTGCAGCGCCACCTCGCCCAGCTGCGTCGAGAACGTCGAGAGGAGTTCCTGCGCAAACTGTCCTCCCCCCGAACCCTCCCCGGGGATGCAATCAGGTTAGCGGTTGTGGTTCGGGAATTTGGGACGTGGGGTGGAAGGGTGAGGGGACGGGTAAAAGAGGTTAAG